AGAGGAGGCAGAGTGGAGGTGATCTGGGGCGGGGAGCAGTTCCCCTGTCGCAACCCCCCCCCCCCGTTACCTGCGGGCGGCCCTCCCCGCGCCCCAGCTCACCTCCACTCCACCTCCTTGCCTGAGCGGGCTTTTAGGCGCCCTCAACCACTAGGCGCCCTAGGCGGCCGCCTAGTTTGCCTAAGTGGTTGCACCGGCCCTGTTCAGCACACAGCAGCCTAGCCATTGGCAAACTTTTTGTAGGCATCACGGACAAAGAGCAGTTCTGAATAAGGATAACGTGTTCATTTTGCAGATGTTCATGGGGAACTCCTCCCAAGCATGAGGGACAGCATGGGAGAAAGCAAGAAGGAGCTTGTTTGGAAATGTAAAAAATGGTTAATGGAGGTTGGCATCATGTGTCAGTCGGAAGGGGGAGTTAACATCTTGATAATGAATGGGAAATGGTCGGTAGAATGGGGATAGGCTGTGAGGGGCCTTGAAAGTGAAGACAAGTAGCTTTGTTTGATCGGATAGAGACGGGGAGCCAGTGGAGGGATGCAAAGAGAGAGATATGACATTGTCAAAGTGACAGATTAGGAAAATGATCTTTCTAGCATTCTGAATGGATGAGAGCAGGGCAAGGTTGCATTTGTCCGGGCTTGAGAGAAGTATGTCACAGTAATCGAGATGTAAGATGATGAGAGCCTGGACAAAGGTTTTAGCTGGGTGAATGGCTAGAAAAGGCCATGTCTTAGAGATGTCATGCAGAAGGAATCTGTAAGATTTAGACCAGGGATCGGCAACCTTTGGCACACGGCCCGCCAGGGTAAGCCCCCTGGTGGGCCGGGCTGGTTTGTTTACCTGCCGCATGTGCAGTTTCAGCCAATTGCAGCTCCCACTGGCCGCGGTTCGCCATCCCAGGCCAATGGGGGCTGCGGGAAGCGGTGACCAGCACCGCGCCTCTTCCCGCAGCCCCCGTTGGCCTGGAGTGGCGAACCGCGGCCAGTGGGAGCCGCGATCGGCCAAACCTGTGGATGCGGCAGGTAAACAAACCGGCCTGGCCCGCCAGGGGGTCTTACCCTGGAGGGCTGTGTGCCAAAGATTGCCAATCCCTGATTTAGACATAGCTTGGATATGAGGACCTGGAGAGAGGCCAGAATTGAAAATGGTTCCCAGGTTTTGGGCCAAAGTGATAGGCAGGCTGTTGGTGTTGTCTGCAGTGACTGAGAAAGGGAGGTAATGGAGAAGACTTTGAGGGGAAAATTAAGAGTTCTATTTTGGTTATGTTGAGCTTGAGCTGACAGCTAGACATCGACAAGAGGTGTCAGAGAGACAGGCTGAGATTTTAGTTTGGACTGAAAGACAAGTTTGGCGTAGACAACCTGTGAGTTGTCTGAGTAGAGGTGGTGGTTGAATTCATGTTTTTGGATGAGGTTAACCAGAGAGAAGGTGTAGAGGGAGAAGAGAAGGGAACCAAGGAGCCCAGTGGGGCCGTCACAGAAATGGGGAATGAGGAGGATCCTTTGAAGGACACGCTGAAGGAGAGATTAAAGAGCTAAGAGGAGAACCAGGACTTGGCAGAGTCACAGAAGCCAAGGAAGGATGACATTTCAAGAAGAGGAGCATGGTCAATGGTGTCAGAAGTGGCTGACTGGAGCAAGAGGATCAGACTTTGGTGAGAGTGGTTTCAGTGGAGTGCAAGAGGCAGACGTTGGATTGGGGAGTGTCTGGGATGGAACTGGAGGAGAGGAACTCCAAACAGTGATTTGTGGACAGAGTGTTCAATGAGCTTAGATGAAAGGAAGATGGGGCATTTGTTGGAGAGGCGGGTGGGGGTTTTTTGAGATGGGGAAAAACTAAAGCATGCTTGTATTGTGAAGGGAAAGAGCCAAAGAAGAATGAGAGGTTAGAGAAGAGTAAGCGAGGGAATGAGAGTGGGCGCGAGGGAGTTCAGGAGCTGGGATGTGGTCATTGGAGCAAGTTGAGTTAGAGGAAGTGAGCAGATGACAAACCTTCTGCATCTGTGACAGGGAAGAAAGAGGAGAGAGTTGTAGGAGAAGGGAAGGCAGGATGAGCAGATGGGGAAAAGTCTCATATTTTGTCAACTTTCTGTTGGAAGAAATTTTCAAGAGAGAAGTGGAGGCAGGAGAAGGGAAGGTTTTGAGTGAGGAAAAGGTGGCTAGTATTGTGGGCATGGGATTCACTGAGTTGGAGAAATAGAGTTGTTTAGCTAGGAAGATGGCAGAACTGAAAGAGAAGAGAATGAATTTTTAGTGGAATTTGTAGCCTTGTCACAGAATTTTCATCGGAGATGCTCCACAGTAGGAGAGCAGTAGAAGAGAAGGTGAATGGTGGGGATGAGCCAGAGCTGGGGGTTGACAGGGTGGACCTTGCTATGGGAAAGAGAGACAGAAGAGTCAAGGGGTGTGAATGAAGTATGGAGAGAATTGACAACCAGATCAATGGAAGGAAGAAAGCAGAGTGCTGAGAGAAGATGAAATCTCATCAGTGTCTATGAACTGAAAGTCTCAGAAAGGCAGATTGACAGGGTATTGTGGGGGAGGGGAGGAGCTGATGGTCAGAGGGGAGAACTCAGCAATAGAGAAATCAGGGAGAGAGCAGTGCTTAATGATGTCCAAGTCAAGTGAATTGCCCTTTTAGTGAGTATATTGATCCTGTAACGCTTTCAGAAGTTGAGTTTTGGGTTTGTTTAATAAAAATATCCCCAAAGTATGTTCAGGAAAGTTTGAAGAGGCAAAGCCTTGGTTTAGTTATGATTCCAGGGATTTAGGTGTTGCAAAGGTTCCGATCAGACAAAGCATTGATATTGCACTTATGTGCTGAACCATATTAAATAATAGGCCCATGAGGCCGTGAACTGGGACAAAATGAATCTTGGGAGGGGAAGTGGGAAAGAAGATGCAGATATTGTACCTAAAAAGAATGGTTTATCCCTTAAGTCCTAACATGTAAAAACTAATTCAGCAGTGGGTAACAGTGGTAGCTAGGAGGGAGGGGCTAAATTTGTCCTCCAGTTGTTTTCAGACTCTACATCCTGTTGGGGTGGGTGCATGGAACTGTAGCAGTAGAGCCTACTTTAGCCCTTAGGCTGGATTTGCATCTGCTCATATTCCACAGCTGGGGGTGAGGAGGATTTCTTCTTCCCCTGTTGAATCACCAGGAGAGAATTCAACTTAGTTTTTCACTGTTCAGTTTACTGGGGGAAAGAGAGAAACTTCTACCTACACTCATACTTTTCAAAAAAAAATTCTCTATTGTTTTCTTCCCCTCCACCAGGACAAAAATACCCTGGAAGACTGACTGATGGTGAATCAAAGTGAACTCCAACCTGGGCAACCAACAGACTATCTGTCATAACAGATAGACATCTTATAAGAACTGACCTGACACTTGGTACCTCTTTTAGCATAACAGCATTATGATGACATGAGGTTACAAACCAGGTGCAATGTAAAAGCAGACAGACCCTTTCTGTTTAATCTATTTTTGTATCTAACAAGAATATATTATTCTTTTGAAGGGGTAGCAGCTTGTTTGAAATGTTATATGGGCACACAAGATTATGTATAACGAGGAACATGAAGAGTAAAACACACATCAAAAACAGCGACAGCTTCCTGTAAGGTAATATTTCAGGAATGGATTGAATTCATCCATGCTGTACTTGCAAATCAATTAATTTGTTTTGCCATCTGTTTGCATGATGCTGTACAAATCATGGCAAGTGGGAATTTCCAGGTACATCTTATGTCCCTTTCTTGCCGCTTTTACTTGCATGAAGAAAGCCAATTTGTGGTAATCCACCCACATACAATTCTGTTATAAGGGAGATTAACTATAACTGCAAATATTAAATATTAAATGCCAAATGGCTCAAGGCTTCCATTAGCCCTCTCTCCCACTGCAAAGTTTGATACCCTAAACAAGGATTTTGAAAGAACTTTTGAAGTTAAAATGAAAGTAGTTTCCAAATTGGTGTGTGTTTACAGCTGTCCTGAAACCTCAAAATGTTTATTACTCTAACATGGCATAATCTGAGTTTCAGTACTGGTTGAGGGGGTGAAATGCAAGTGTAAAGGCTCCACAAGTGGTAAAAGAAGCTGCCAATGATTTAATTTGTCTTTCTACCCTGCATGTGTTTGGTTTAGCTAAACTGAATAATACCCGCTCGCTGGCTGCAAGCAGTGTGTGGGGCCAGTGCCAGCTTTTTATAACACTGCATTACAAATATTCCCACCAGCTGAGACTCCAGCAGCATGATAAGGATCTCTACTTCTTATCCAGCTGCCTTAAAAGATATTTGGAAACTTAGTGCTGATTCCTTAAAGAGAGGTTCCCATTTCTTTCCTCCCCTTCTCTCCCAAAATACCTGTCTCTGTAGTGTTTGAGTGACTAGCATGGTACTCCTCTATCTTGGGATAATGTGACCTAAAAGTGCTGCTCCTCTGCCAAGAGATACTGTAGAAATGGTGATGTATGATGCCATTTTGGTGATTTCCATAACATACATCCTCATTTTGAGTAACAAGTTTTAATAACTTCCAGTTTTGCAAATTCAAACTCAGATCAGAGCGCCAAGCTGCATGTATTTCCCCCCACCCCGGCTCATGAAAAACCTTGAGTGGTGATATGCTAGTCAGTTTCTACCCTTAGTTATGCTAGTGACACCCAGTGCCTTCAGTAGACTTGCACAAATGTAATGAAGGGGAGAATTTGGCCCTGCAGTTCAATCTTCGTTACCACTACTGTTGATATGTGATCCAGGGCAGAATCCAGTTCTCTCTCTGGGAGGTGACTTGGCTCTGAAGTGCTAAGTGGAGGTTAAAAAAATAAAAGGGGGGGGAAAATGGCTTGGAACCTGATCCAAAGCCCAATGGAAAGACTTCCATTGACTTCAGTGTACTTTGGATAAGGCCCTTTGTCACCAGATTAAGCAGATTTGATTCTGAATACGTGCCAGGAGCAGAGTAAGCAGGTGGTGTTTTTTCATAACCACTCTTCTTACCATAAGCACAGACAATATAGTACGTACTACTAAACACCTGCTTTTTTAAAGTGGGGGAGTTGAGACAGAAAAAAAGGAAGAACTGGAAGAAGGAAATAAAGTAATCATGGTAGAACAGAGGATGGGAAACATGGCAGAGACATTACAGGGATGTGAGGGGAAAGACTATCAAACCTAATAGCCCCAAATCCCAGCATTCTTTGATTCAAAACCTCCTTTCATGTGCTCTTGCCCCACTTCCCAACTATATTCTCATCCTACTCGTTCTCCGGAAAAAGTTTCTAAAAATTCTTAATTGCATTCTACTCCCGTTCCATCATTTACCCTGATCATTTATTCCATGGGTCGGTTACTTTATGCTTGAAATCCTACTGTTTTAAGAAATTGGGAATTAATTTGTAGCTTTTAACTCTTCACCATAGTGAGCTTATGTTATTAATGCCTTTAATTGAAAACATCTGTTACTCTATGCTCAGCACATTAAAGGAAACTAGTATAAGCAGTTCTTAAATACTTGAGCTCTGGTATCCTCTTTAGTGACCAATATTATCCCAGGGGAGCATTTTCAAATGGGAGGGAAATATCCAACATGTTCCCTCTTTAAAAACACTTGAAAATTCTTATATATTCTTAAATAATGCCACCGTAGAAGAAATCATAAGCAAACTCAGAAAGTAGCTTCCTTCCAACAGCTTTTGTGTGAACTTTTTAGTTAATCATATGCCTATCAAAATAGCAACATACCTGTTATTTCTAAATCCCATCTGTATCTAGGCGGCTACTTGTAACTTCTGAGTACATCTCATATACTCTTTCTTTCCACATTCTTTGCTACAGATAGTTCTGTAGGCAGCCTGCACATTAGCAATAACTTCTTGTAACAGACATAACCTTACTGAGAAAAGACTAAATATCAAGGCCCTTGTACAGAAAGCATGGCAATGTTTGACATTCTCACTTTTCTCTCAACTGTATTTATATCTGGAATAGTAGAAAATGGGTGACCAATGAGAGTACAGGAAACTCATTGAGAGAATTATCTCTTAAATGTCCTATAAGCAGCTTTAAGCCCTTTATTGGAGTTTTAATAATTTATTTCAACGGGTATACTAACAGGTAGTTCTGTGTTCATGATCTTTCATAATCTTACCTTTATATCGAACCCTCACAATAGGAAGGTTCTTTACAGATTTTAGTTAATAATAAGGATTTCACAATTTAAAATCATAACAGATTCCTGGCCCTAATCAGGAATTAATGTAATGCTTACATATATTGTTTAAGTACTGCACAGTCATCCTAACATTCCTGTTAGGTAGGTCACATGAGAAGATAAAATAAATCAAATGATGTGTTCATTTATGTAAACTTGTAGATCTTGTAGGTAACACACACATCTCTAAGTGGGGGAAAAAAAGGCAAAAAGACCTAGTAGATTATCTTGTCTGTTTCTCTGCCAATGCCATAAAGTACTTAATATGTTCTACTACTTTAGGTATAGTTAGCATGATATCTCCAGAATTGCAAGCATTGACCATCGCGTGAAGTTTAGTCATTAAGAGTTTTTTTTTTTTAAACCTCACTCATTGTTGATTATTCACTCTTATACACTGCCATTGCAGTAAAAAGAACTTTGTACAATGTTAAAAGCATCCCAAAATGTATAAGTATCCCTTTCTGTTGGGATGAAAAAATTAGAAACCCTACAGCTATCTCTCTTCCCTAGTCTGTGTCTGACTGTCTTTGATCCTGTGATTATAATGGTCTTAGTTTGAGTGTGTACTACAAGAATTGTTGCCTGGTGTCATTTTTAACAAGTGTTCTTGACTCTTTTTTTTTAGGTATCTTCTCTTTTTCAATCCCTGTTCTAATTTATGTATGCTCTATGTTGATTAAAGGTGACTAGTGTGACTGCATGACACTTTTGTAAGAAGCAGACTCAGCTAGGATGTTACACCATCACTGTCGGAGGAACCCTGAACTACAGGAAGAGTTGCAGATTCAGGCTGCAGTAGCTGCTGGGGATGTTCACACCGTGCGCAAGATGTTGGAACAGGGCTATTCTCCAAATGGTCGAGATGCCAATGGCTGGACCTTGCTTCATTTCTCTGCAGCAAGAGGGAAAGAGAGATGTGTTCGTGTATTTCTTGAACACGGAGGTGAGTTGCACAGAAATAAAAGGTCTTGGGTTCCATTCAAAAGTCTTCCATTTCCAGATTGGTATCAGATTATTTCTGAAGTAACTTTCTCGTTTGCCTCATTTGTTTCTTGGGAGTGGTGCTTTGTTTCTGTCTCCACTCTACTTGTTTTGGATGTTGTCTCCATGAATGAGCTGGCAAAGTATCTCGCCTTTTATATTAGTTCTCAAAATTGCCAGGGAGCAATTATCAAAATGAATAAGCAGTTATAAAAGTAGGTGAGTAGGGAAGAGCTAGATAGAAAGTAAGAGAGAATTTACGGCACCTTTTGTAGGCCTTGTCTGCACTACAAGGGAGATGTGCTCTTAATTTTGAGTTAGCAAACTGTAGATAAAATCCTAGTAAGTGCTGAACACAAGGCAGTTTGTCGTTCTAACTTGAGCCAGTAGGTCATGTTAAAGACTAGGCTTTCTCATAGACTTTAATTTGATCTTCGAATAACTCATGTGAAAATTATAAACTGCCTCGTCTTCACTAGGATTTTACCTCAAGTTAGCTAATTTGAGTTACGCATGCTCCTTTTTTCAGAGTGAAGACAAGGCCATATTTGTAACTATCGATTTGAAAGGGTAAAACATCAAAGACAAGCAATTGGTTAGCATAGTACCGTATACACTTGTTCATAAGCCAAATTTTTTAGTAAAAAAGGGAAGCGCCAGAGAAGGGGGTCGGCTTATGAATATAGAGAGAGAGGTGGGACACAGCCCCTCCCCTCAACAGAGGGAGCAAGGAGAGGCAGCATAGCCAGAAGGGAAGAGGCGGGGCCAGAGTCCCTCCGCTTCCAGCCATGCTGCTCTCTCCGCAGCCTCCGAAGCAGTTGCAGCTCCGTGGCTGGCAGGCTGTTAGCAGGCTGCAGCCATGCCGCTCGGCCCCATCCCCTGGAGCAGGCTGTGGCCACGGCGCCAGAGCATGCTGCGGCCATGCCACCTGGCCCAGCCCGTTGGAACATGCTGCGTCCGCGCCGCCTGGTCTGGCCCGCCGGAGCAGACTGCAGCCGCGCTGCCCAGCCGGTCGGAGCAGCTCCAGCCAGGTCAGAGACATCCTCCCCTGGCCCTCCCAAGATAAGGTGGGAAGGGATGGGATGGGGATTGGGGAGAGTGTGGGAGTCTTGGGGGGTGGTCACAGGGGTTACTCCCCTGACTCCCAGCTTCTCCCCCCAAAAAAATTTCCCCACCAGTTGCTGTCCCAGCCCATCAGGGTAAGCAGCTGGCGTGTCAGGACACTTTGTGTTTACTTAGGTTTACCTCCATGCCTGCGGACTCTCGAGGTAAATAAACCAATAAACCTGGGAGCCAAAGTTTGCTGACCCCTGAATTATAGGGTCGGCTTATGAACAGGTTATAAAAATTTTCCATTTTTACTTATCCATCTTGGGGGGAGGGGGGTTGGCTTATAAACGAACCGGCTTATGATCGAGTATATACGGTGTAAGAGAGAATCAATAGAAGTAAAGTTTAAGGTAAATATCACTCCTAATGACTTTTGTCAAAATATGGAAGCCTTTTAAGGAAGCACTTTTTCTTGAGTCACTTAAAGGTAGTTGAGGCAAAGCACATCACTAATAATAGAGCAAATGTACATAGTACTTAGGACAGAAAGCACTCCTTACTTTTAGTCTTTTACCAAAACTCCTAGACTTTAGAGGTCAGTGGATTGAACTTGTTGTCCTTGCACTGAACAACGTACAGAGTGGGAGAGATGGGCGTGCCACGTACCCAGTCAGAGCACTGCCCCATTAAACTTTCTCTCTGGCATAGAAGGGCTAGATGGAACTCCTGAACTCCCTAACACAGTTCATAAATCAGACAGATAGTTTGCTAAATTTTTACTATCTTCCCATCCCATAGAAACTCACATGAACCATCTGATTGATTTAATAAAAACTACTCACATGAGTAACAGTGAATGAGCTCAGGCCCCTAGTTTGTGTTGCATTATTTGACACATACATATATATTACATATAAAAACTACATTTAAAAGAATGTTGTTTAGGTTGCAAAGTAAAGCAATTTAAAATTAGAAAATGCCACACTTAGGAGTCAGAATTGAAGTTGCCCGTGCAACCCTCAATCTGGCATTTCCCAGTTTTCAAGTACTTGATTTGAGATGTATAAAAATCTTCGCAATCTTATAAATTTGACTTTCTTTCCAGATTTACAAGCTCTGTAAACTTGTCTTTTCATTTTCAGTACATCTTCTTATAACAATTTTCCTACAAATGCTACTGACTGGCTGCTATTTTCCCCTTTTCATTTATTGCTTTTAATAAGCCAGGTAAGAATTATCTGTAATGAAATAGCCTAGTGCTGGCAGCAGCGTAGAATGCAGTCGGAGGAATTGGAAAGTTGAGTAACTAGGCACCTGAAGCGGAAGAGACTCTAACAGTGTGGGAGTTGGTCATCTAGAAGTAGATTGACCATTGTATCAGCTAGTAAACCATCCAGCTCGTCAGGGTGTTAGTTGTATATAGAGTGAATTGTATGTTAGTGTTTTCCTTTATTCATGCCAATCCTTTGGCCGAGACACAAGGATGAAACCAGCAGAAGGAGCAACCAAATGCAAAGAGAATATACCAGATCAGCAGAGTTGCAAGGTATTTCTTAGCAATTTGATGGCATGGTAGAGCAGTGGAGAGACTTAGTCTGCAAGGAGAGTGGAGAAAGTATAGCTCACAGACAGTTTGGATTCCTCAGAGGTGTGGGTCTTCCAACCGCTCTTTTTCAGTATAATGAAAACATGACGACAAACGGAATCTGCAAGAGCAATCCAAGCAGCAAGGAGCAGTGGTCCCACTGGAGCAGAACAGGAAAGCGAGAGGGGCAGAATGGTTCACAGAATCATAGAAAATTCGAGAAGTCATCTGATCCATCCTCTTAGCCAGTGCAAAATTTTTCCCTCTGGTATATTTGTGCTTTCCAAATTTCATGCTAAGCCATCTTGTGTGTGCAGTAAATTAGGGGAAGAATTATGCTGTGCTAATGCACAGCCCTCTGAATCCTAGCCAGCTAGGATCTTTAGGGTGCATAGCAGTTAGCGCTCTTATGTTTTATATTCCAGTAATACACTAGGCGAGTAAAGACATTGTTTGGTTATGTGTACCAAAGTAATGGTGATAAGACTCATTGAAACCAAAAGGAATTTGTTAAGAAAACTGCTGAAAATCCAGAGTAGCAAGTGACCTAAAGGAGTTTCTATTCTATGAAAATTTGACTACACCATATCTAAATCTAGTAAGACCTTACAGAATCTAGGAGAAACTAGAAGGTGTGAAATACTGTTCACCTAGATTGATGTATCTTTGTGGAACAAGATTAGTGCATTTCTTGAAGCTTCCTTGTTGCCAGTATTGCCTTAGGAAATCCTATGCAGGCAGCACTGTGAGTATTTCTGAATCTTGTGGCTAGGGGTAAGTTTCTGGAAGGAAGCAAGCCTGGAATAACAGGAGTACACATAACTACCCGTCAACGTAGCTACTGCCTCTCATGCAGGTGGAATAACTATGCCAACCGGAGAAGCTCTTCTGTCGGCATAGTAGCATTTTCACTGAAGCGCTACAGCCACACAGCACCACTGCAGCATTTTAAGTGTAGACCTGCTCTTAGTAACAGTCCTGGGACTTTTTGGTGGGGGAATGAAGGGGAAAGAGGAAACACATCACAACGGGTCTTCAATCAGATTCTTTCCAGATTTATGACCAGTTGCCTTACAACAGAGCTCGCCCTCCAGAGTTGGACAGTTACTTAAGAGAACAGTGCAAAGAGAGGAACCTAGAATGAACAGGGTTATACCTTTGACTTCAATTTCACAATGTTAATTTTATTGTGGGATGGTAGGAATGGAAAAAACCTTAGTGAGTGCTTTTGATCCTCCCAATGTGCAGCGCATAATAGTTTGTCCACAAGATGGCAGCAAAGCACTTTCTTAAGAATAATGGGCAGTCTTTTCGGTTTGTTTTTAATGATCTGACTACTTAATTGAGTAGAAAATTGGTACCAGTGGTCCAGTAAAAACCCATAATATTAACGGGAATTAAAATATCATTACCATATGGTGCTGTCCATCGTATTGGCTTTCATAAAGCTTAAGTCATGTGGCTTGTTTACACAATTGATTGGATTCCTTCACTTTTTCCAGTGATATCTCTTACATAGTTTGCTACTTCTTGGTTGGCCTTTATATAATTAGGAGTAATTTAATTGGATTGGAGGTAGAGGGGGAAGAAACACTTACAAAAGGGTGGCCTTGTTTGAGAGGCAATGGTATTAATTCAAAAATGCTGCTAGTACTAATCTAGGTGAGTCTAGAAATAGAGATAGAATAGACTTATTACATTACTGTAACAGGTACACCATAACCTGTTTGCTTTTTAAGCAGGTGGCTTAATGGATAGAATGGATTGGATAGAATGGATCAAACAGAATGGAGTGGGAGTGATTTGAGAGAGGATCTAGAACAGGGGTTCTCAAACTAGGGCCGCTGCTTGTTCAGGGAAAGCCCCTGGCGGGCCGGGCCGGTTTGTTTACCTGCTGCATCCGCAGGTTTGGACAATCGCGGCTCCCACTGGCCGCGGTTCAGCATATCCCTCAGCCTGCGCTGCTTCCTGCAGCCCCCATTGGCCTGGAGCGGCGAACCACGGCCAGTGGGAGCTGCGATTGGCCGAACCTGCGAATGCAGCAGGTAAACAAATTGGCTCGGCCTGTCAGGGGCTTTCCTGAACAAGTGGCGGACTGGCTTTGAGAGCCACTGACCTAGAATATTGTCTGAGCAGTCTGAAGCTAGGAAGTCTAGGAGCAGCTGATCCAGGGAAGAATATTTTTTCAGCTGATCATTGATATTTTTAATATCGTTGTTTTTTTGACTCTGCAGTGGTGTGGACTCTATTTTAGAGCAGGTTGGGAAAGATACCAGTTGCTTCCTGCCAAAACAGGACTGCTCGCTGCAGTTATCTTTGACCAGTTTCATTTTTAAACTTCTCAAGTATTCAGGCTTCTGCTGCTTCTGTTGAGAGACTATTCCACTGTCTTATACAGCTGACTAAGGAATTTTGTCCTGATACATAATCTAAACTTGTCCTTAATTTCATCTCATTATGTCAAGTTACCCCCTTTACTTACCTCAGGCAATAATACTTCCCGTTCCTTAATACCCTTTGTGGATTGTTCCCCGCACTGCTCCGTTTTTAATTGCTTAGCCATGCTATGCTCTCTTAATCTTTCCTGTTTTTATATTTTAAAAAAAAAAAAACCCTCTCAAGCTCCTTCATCACTTTTGTTGCTCTCCTCTGAATTCTGTCTTAATTGTCAATATTTCTGGTGAGGTGATGTCCATAACTGATTCCAGGTGTGGGCACTTGAGACCCATATAAAGCAGAACTTTTTCTTCTCCATTCTGTGACTGGATTCCTCTGTATATTTAACCCAGCATTACATTGACCTAACTTGCTGCCATATCATATTGCAAACTCCACTTGTACCTTCACAGTAGGTTGGAATTTGAGATTGGGCTTGTTATCTTACTCCCCATGCTGCTAAGGATGAGGAACACACAGTTGCCCGTGTGTGTGGGTGGGTGTGTGGTAGGGGATGAGGGAACCCGTGTGTTTATCCCGAGCAACACATACAACACCCAACATTGGAAGAGGTGTTGACAGCCTCCAGAGGGAGCTGTGTTCTGTCCTCTGACCTTCTGGAAGAAAGGTCACTCCATCATACTCCTGTCTGCACCCCTTCTTCTTCAAACACTGTTTGGATGGGGAAAATGCAATGAGTGAAGTGTCAGAATGCAGCAATGTGGCTGTCAGGATTTTGCACAGTAGAAATGCATAATGTGATGGTGTCAAATGAAGGCTGGTCTTCCCTGTGGACAGCACCTCTCTTTATAAGCCAGGAGACTTGGGTTAGGAAATGGACTCAGGTTTCCAAGCTGTAGACGGGTAGAAGTTGAGCACATTACGAAGTGGTGCACATAGGTGAAGGCGGAGGGAGATTACCCTTTGCAGCCTTGCCAGCTGGGTAAGAATGGTAGTGGGACAGGCTCCATAGTCCAGTTAGCTGGCTAAAAGTAAGATGTTAAGTGCATGTGAGGAAAGACTTGTGAAAAATCATTTGGGGTGCAAGGGATGTGTCTCTGTGTCCAGGAGTGAGGAGTGGAATTAGGTAACTTGGTCTGGTTGATTTATTTTCTCTCTCTTTTATTTTTATAATATATGAGAGCACATGTACGCTATCTGAATTTATGTGCCGTTGGTGGTGGTGCGATGGGGAGGAACGGGACTGTCCAATCACTTGCAAATTTAGCACTGCCATATCTCCTGATTTTTTTTTTCTCCCCATAAGGGGATGCTTACATTCTTGTAAAATCTTAAATTTTTGTAAAACTATAAATTAAGAACAGACTTCTCATCTTATAAAAACAGACTTTTATCAAGATGATCTGAAATAACATATATCTTACATGCTTTGGAAATCCTACAGACCGCAGAGAAACTTTTTACCTAATACAGTATTACACCCTAAAAACAACACCATCTTGCCAGACCACAAAACATCTGTAATTTGGGACAGCAGATGTTGCTACACATGCTTCTTTTTAAGACCAAGAAGCAGCACAAGGGAAAATAAAACAGAGAGAAAGAAGCATGACATTACAGAGCTGGAAAGGAACTGGGTGGACAAAGAAGTTTGAGCAATTAGCTTAAAAGTGCTAGAACTATGCATGTGTTTAAACATAACTTCATTTTTTTTTCTTGTTATTACCTATATTAAACGAAATAAATCATTTGACTCTTCCTTAAAATAGAACTTAGGCCCAGATTTTTAAATGTATCTAGGTGTTGCTGCACTCAACATTGCAACACCTAACTGATTTAGGAGTCTAAATCTCATTTTCAAAAGGGATTTAGGCAATTTTGGTTCCTAAGTGAAGTAATGCCTACGTGCTTTTAAAAATCTGGAACATAGTCTATTAAAGCAAGAAGTAGTTTGAAGCATGTCAAACTATTTCAAGATTTGCTTGAAGAGTAACATTCTGCCACTTGATTTTATTTGTACTCTCTGTCTAACTTTTTTCCTTTGTTTTGTATTTTAACTTTAGCTGATCCCACAGTTAAGGACTTAATTGGAGGCTTCACCGCTCTGCATTATGCTGCCATGCATGGCCGGGCAAGGATTGCACGCTTGATGTTGGAATCAGAATATAGAAGTGACATTATCAATGCAAAAAGCAATGATGGTTGGACTCCCCTCCATGTAGCAGCCCACTATGGCAGAGACTCATTTGTCAGACTCCTGCTGGAGTTCAAGGCTGAGGTTGATCCGCTCAGTGATAAAGGTACTACACCGCTTCAGTTAGCCATTATCCGAGAGAGGTCAAGCTGCGTGAAAATCCTTCTGGATCACAATGCCAACATCGACATTCAAAATGGTTTCCTGTTACGATACGCTGTGATCAAAAGCAATCACTCTTACTGCCGAATGTTTCTTCAGAGAGGGGCGGATACAAACTTGGGCCGCTTAGAAGATGGACAGACACCATTACACTTGTCTGCTCTTAGAGATGATGTGCTTTGTGCACAAATGTTATATAATTATGGAGCAGACACTAACACAAGGAACTATGAAGGACAGACCCCATTGGCTGTTTCAATAAGTATTTCTGGAAGTAGCCGACCCTGTCTGGATTTCTTACAAGAAGTAACAAGTATGTATGTAAGAAAAGTTAATCAAAGCACAGTGTCCTTTTTTTGGGTTTAACCTCAGGAAAACATTTAATCCTAGCATCCTAAATGCTAGTTAAATGCATTAGAACGTTCCTGGTGGTGATGGTGGGGGAAGCTCATTTACTGTCCTTCTCAGGAAAGGAGCTAACACTAAGGACACCATATTTAAATGAACTTTGTTTAATTTATTTATATTTAGAGAGAGAGAGACTGGAAGTGTTCATCAAAAGATCTGTATGTGGCTATAAAATCCTGCTTTATTAGAGCTGGCCTTAAGTGCAAGCATAACGTGGCTTCTTAGGATCCTTTGCTTGTTTGACATCCTGCAAAAACTCTGCAGCTCACTGTCTCATCTGGCATTAGGACCAGAGCAGGAGGAATTTTTCTCTGTGTGGTGGTTTTTGTTTTTTGTTTTTGTTTTTCCTTCCCCCCTTCTCTTCCCACACCCCTTCCCTAGACAGCAACATGAGCGTAGTTATTTTCTTCTGCCTGTACCTGTTCGATATCTGGGAACGCTAGACTTACTGAAGTACCCTCTCAGTTTTAAAAAGTTTTTGATTTTTGACTACATTATGCAAGATGTTAGAAATGGAGTGACCTATTTAAAAATTTCCTTCATAAGGAGGATGCTGCCACTGAAAATGTTCAGGGTACAGAACTGCATTGCTAACAAGGTAACAAGGTGTAATCCAGGCTTCTTCTTATTAAGAGGGCCTGACTACTTCTCATGTGCCCAGGATCAAAGTAGTATAGGACAGTTGGTGTGTGGCTTTTTAAAGCTTCTCTTACTTTTGCATGTTGCATTTTCAAACAATGAAAGTTCATGACCACATGCAGTATAGGCGCTAGAGAGAAACTGAATTTTTAATCACTGAATCAGATGAAATTTAGCAATTGTAGATACACATAAGCATTCAGAATCAGACTTCTAATTGTATGTATGACTTGTATTACTGTGTTCACTAAAGACCTATAGATCATATATATCTGAAAGCTTGATATATACAGTATTTGGACGGGTGAAGGTTGGATAATAGGAAAAACAAGGGGAGGAAAGACTTTAATTTCACTGAACTTTTTCTGTCGAGAATAGAATTCTACCCCCTTTGTTGCCTGTCTTTGGAAACGTTTCTCACCATTTTAGTTGTACTGTTGGAGTTATTTATGGACAAAATAATATCCAATCTTCTAATTTTCCATAGTCTTAGTAGACTATAACGGTAAACTGAAGCATATTCTAATCCTTTCAAGTGTGTCCCTAATATCTGAAGCTTCATCAAAAAAGCTGCAAACTTAAATAACTTGTTTGTAGGTTGCAGATTCTGCAGTGGAATTGCTAGCTTCTAACAATTTAGCATAATGACGTCTAAATAAAGAAGTTAGAAGTAATTCCAAAGCTTTTAGATGCCCAGAAACTCTAAAAGTATCCTTATAGCTATAAGAAGTAGCAGTTGTCTTTAATACATGCACACAAATAGTTAAGAAACCAAAGACTTAGAATACTGTTCCATCTGCAGTGGACATTCATTCATTTGTGTGTACAAAAATAACACTTATGTACTGCTATAGATTTTCAAAGTACTTTAAAACATTTCATTTAAAATTAGTGTCTCTTCTTTACACAGTACTGTTATCGTTGTTCTGAAGGGCTAAGCACATATATATATTTATTTAAAAAAAAATAGTTCTAATAAGCCAAATGGGGTTGAAGCTTGTGGAAACTGGGGTGGGAATTACGGGAAGTGGAGCTTCTTAATGGGGATGGATGTAAAGAGACTGGTAGAGTTCTGATTGTATTCTGGAGAGGGCTTCCTGTTGGTTGTTTTTTTTTCCCCATTGGCTTCAACAGAACCTGAGAGATTTATAAATGGTCTTGATATGTCTGCTTGGGGTGGGTGCAGGTGTTTTTTCTAGCATCCTTCTACCCCATCTCAGCAGCACTTCATCAGTGGCTGCTTTAGGATATCTGCGAGAGTTGTGCCGCTATATAAACTAGAATTACGAAGGTTTAAAATGGAAGAGAAAGTAGGATTGGTTGCAAGATCTCTGGTTACTCAGCCTCTGTTGTGTTAGGCAACGGGAAACAAGGCAGGACTAAATCAGTTGCAAGATGGAGACTGAGTTTGAAATCTCTCAGTCTCACTGGCCATCTCCTGATTCTGCTCTTGTGGGAGGAGGGTAGTGTGACAATGACCTCCAGAGGTAGTTACAGCCATCTTTGAATTGGTCGTGAATGAGGCTCCTAAATTTGCATTTGTAGTGATTAATCCTGGTAGGAAGACATTGTAGGATGTTTGTTAGCACCGCAGTTGGGCATTTGGTTGAACATAAACTAAGAAGTGTGGCTGTGCTGATTGCATTTTACTTCCAAAAGTGGTCTCCGACTCAAAAATTAATCGGATAGCGTGTCCATCTATTGAGAGTCCAGGGAAGGTGTTACTTTGGATTTAGCATAGGTTGCCCTGTTTCATGGCAGAATCCCTAATTGAGAGTTGAGCTGATTGCTCTGGGTGACTTCTTCATTGTCAATGTGGGTAATTCATCTGGGTTAACTCAGGTATTGCTGTGTCACCACATGTAGCTGGCCATACTCTTGAACTGTTTTTTGCTTTAGCTTTGGAAGTGGGCAGAATGGAGGTTGGACCTCTATCCAGGACCACATCTTCCTTTGTTTTGAACTCAGGATACACATCTCTTGAGTCAAAGAGCCTTTTTTAAACATCTTTTGACTTCCTACTTCTGAGACAGATTTGGGCGGTGGCATTTTGCCGCCCTCGGCGGAAATTCAGCGGCGGGGGGTCCTTCCGCTCTGGATCTTCGGCGGAAATTCGGCGGCAGGTCCTTCACTCGCTCTGGGACCCGCCGCTGAAGTGCCCCGAAGACGCGGAGCAGAAGGATCCTCGCCGCTGAAGACCCCAGGCCCCCTGAATGCTCAGAGGAGCAGCGCTGCCGTCTAGGGCGGCAAAAACCCTGGCGCCGCTCCTGCATGGGGCGATAGAAAGATTAACCTAAATAATCTATCCAGAAGCCTGTGAAGCCGCATAAGATTGGGTCCCTAATCCATGAACTATTGGAACTCATTTACAAAACTTTTCTTAAATATTATATGAATATATTGTCTCATACTATAGAATTAGAATTTATAATCCCTCTTCCATGATGAGATATCTTTGAGCTATAATGTATCTTTATATGAAATGCTTTCTGAGGAAAAAACGTATCCAAAAAATTCGATTTATTTATTTATTTATTTATTTATATTTTTAAATCGTTGGTTTTTATCCACCCTGCTTTGCTGGCTCTTGTGGGCTTGTTGCATTGAACTTTTCCCGCCTAAACTGGTGTCAAAACACTGGTACCAATAGTCTTACTACAGAGAGCCTATAGCTCCCTATAATGGAGAACAGACAAGAGACCAAGTCTGTAAATACATCTCCAGTCTTAGAATTAGATCTACAAGAAAGATCTGATTTATTTTTCTACATTTCCCTGAGGAAGTGTCTCCCCTGTGCTTTCCAGTGAGAGTTGGGGGTCAGACATTTAACTTCACTTTCTCTCGGGATTCCTTTACATATTGAGAGGCCAGATTAGTCTAAGCATGAAGTTGAAAGTTTTGCCTTGGTTTCCCAATCTGGAAAATAGATAATACCTGCCTAGTTAATCCTGGATTGCCATCAGATCAATGGTTAGGTGAAATACTAATTCAGTTGTATTAAGATCAATTGTTTCATATTTTCAAAAGGACAAGTCATTAGCTTCAACAAAGGATTTCAAATTGTATGCTTTAGAAAATGTTTACAGCATTGTAGGCGTGGATGAAATTTTAAAGATAAATAGAGACCCGAACAAAGAAACTAGAGAAACTCCCTGTCGAGAGACAGTTTAAGTAAAACTACTTTTTTTTCCCGCTATAATTTAGGCAAATTTTAAACTTTGACTGTTTTGTGATTGTATAGTTTAAACTCCTCTGAATGTAGTAATTTCACGGTGTAAAATTCTGTTACAACCTTAATTACTCAGTATCAACACTTAAAACAAATGCAGTAATTCCTTGAAATCACTTGCTAGGAATCCATTGGAAGAAGTTCGCTAAGCTCAACGTTAATCTTCATTTATATGTGCATGGTAACATGCATGAAACTTACTGAAATTGTGAAAATCTGTTGCCCCAATAGGTGCTAGTGGTAATCTCTCACTGATAAATGGGCTCTGCTTTGAGAGCCTGGGTGTTAAGGCTGTATGAATCAGTGATTTTTATCATTGGCCCTGTTAAATAAATAAATAAAATCTTACACAAGTTCCACGATACTTTCCTCTTCTCACTAGTAACAACTGTTCAAAGGCCAATATGTTCTTCAAACAATGTTTGGTTCTTTTATGTAGCATATTGAAGATAGATCAAATCACCTTTTCAAAGAATTGACACAACCCACCTTCTTTCAGTTGAGAAAAACAAAGGGAGTAAATTTTCAAAGCTCTCTGCAGTTTTAGCGTGTGACTGTCGTCATAGTCAGAGTTGGCTGGCTAAAACTGGCACAATGCTTTGAAAATATATCCAGCAAGTCAGCTTTTAGCCAGTAACTGGGATTTTTGTTCATTTAATTCTTCTGAGTCTTTGCTATCTCAGCACAGCAGTTTGAAGATCCCTTTGTGCAAACAAAAATCTTGATATACCTATTTCTGTGTTTTAAAGTAAAGGTAACTTAGTCCATGGAACACAGAGTAGCATACAGTAAAAGGTCAGGTATTCAAACTGTAAGATGGTCCAATAGCACTGTCTTATAAAAGTACTTATTATTCTTTCAGAACACTTTTCATCATTCTATCATCTCCTAAATAAGAAATATGAAAGGGAACATATGTAAGCAGTATGATACTGGAGCTATTTTTGGTGAAAACACCAGCACTACATATGATTTAATAAAGACTACATAGCAGTCAAATTACTGATTATATTACAAACAAGAAGTAAATTCTGATG